CCAGCTACAGAAAACGAACGCAACGCACGTCATCAATCACAAGTTTTAACTGCATCGCGCAAAGCCCCAAACCGATCATTTTTGGCCTCCTAGTGTCTTTAAGACTTTGTGTGTTTGAGAAAGATACTGTCCTACTTCACTGTACAGCAAACCCCTTTCCAAATGATATTAATACACTATTTGTCAAAAGTAATCCTCAAAGGGCAGTAAGAGAAAAGTATAACCTCGTTCATGGTTCATAAATTGTTCATGGTTCATAAACTGATCCAAGGCAAATGCTCAATTTAATAAATGTGCTACACTAGTAAGGTATTTTCCTTATCACTATCCTGGTAATTGCTGAATTCAGAGTAACAGGTTTGCTTGTTTGTTTTTAAAAAGGCAAAACTGTTTCCATTTAGACTTTTCACAAAAATGCTTTAATTGGGGGGGGGGGATCTCTGTTATCAGGGACAACTGCGCAAAAAGAGCTCAAGTACTTATTTTCTTCAAAGTAATTATAGGATGCACTCTCTTTCACAATCCTTCAAGGATCCGCATCACGAAAACCCCCACTTTTGCAATAAAGTAACCTTTGTAACAGCATAATCCGAAGCATGCTTATTCAGAAGGTAAATCTCAGAGATCAACGAGACTTACTCCCAAGTAAATGTGCACAGGATTGCTTCGGTTGAAACAGTGCCTGTCACTTAAATAATGTTTAGTTGATTAGCCATCTGCTTTTAAACCAACTGATTAGATAGAAACACGTTTGCATCTTGTCAAAACCTAAGTACAGACATCCATTTGTGATACTGAAGGGAGTGCAGGATAACGTAGCAATCAAATGCTTCCACTCATTGTTGCAAGATCATATTTAATGGGGGGAAGGAGGGTTTAAACATCCTTATTACAGTAACGCACCAAAAGTATGATAGCTGTTTGTTTGTTGTTTGTTTGTTTGTTTGTTTGTTTTTAAAGCAAGTGTAGCCTTAACTCAGAATCTCACTGATTATCATTGGTACCAGCAATTAATCAACTAACACTTTCATTGATCCATCTACTGATTAACCCAATTAAATCCTGCAGCCTCAAGTTTAAACTACTCAGTAGCTACAATATATAATATACAAAACAATCAATTGAAGAACCTTCCTTGTACTGGGTTGCTTTGCCTCCTTACTGAACTGCAGCTATTTGGCCAGCCATTGACAATTTACCCCCCCAAAAAAGAAGTCACAGTCAAAGAAACTGTGGTTGAGTCCACCCTAGTGGTATATAGCAATTTCAGGACTGCAGAAGATAAAATTAGGATAAAAATTAAAACCAGGCAGGCACCTCAACTTAAAAAACTGCACAATTCACACAAAGCATTCTCTGTCCATATATCCCATATCGGTATAATCAATTTGGTAATTAAAGACAGATCTTCTCACCATTACAGGCACAGCACGTTGGAGATCACTTTCCTTCAGTAAATATGTGCACATTAAACAGAAACAATGCCTGGGCTTCAAAACCCATGGATACATAACCTAGAGGCCATGTTTGGGCTTAGGGTATAGTAATTCTTCCCAGGGGCAATTGGGAGTGGTGGGAGAGGAACATTATTAATATGTCTGCTCGATGGATTCCCGAAGCAGAGAAGAAGGGTTATAAATCTAGGTCAAGCCTACTTTGCAGCATTCCTAGATTTTAACAGCGGAAACACCCACTGGGACCAGCCAGCTTGATCTAACAGTGGGCAGCTGAATTATCTCAGGAAAAAAACTTAGCTGCTCAATGGTGCTTCGCAAAAGCAAGCTCCCACCCCCTTAAGCAGCATGTTTAAGTCCTGGGATGCTGCTGGGCTCCCATCACCCCCAACCAGCAATTCCCCAATTGTCAGGGAAGATGAGAACTGCAGCCCCATACAAATTCAGGGCAAGGCTGATTTAGAATAATGCCAATGGCAGAAAACACAATTGTTAGGCAGCCTAGCCTAATCACGGTCACCGTTTTAAGATGATGCTCCTTATGAGCCAGAAATTGGCTCACCTGCTGCTGATGCTTTTCTCCATGCCGCACCAAGGAAACGGGGGCACTGAATGATACAGAGCAAGCAACTTCTCCTGTAGCCAAACTGGTGCCTTCCAGATACAGTGATACCTCGGGTTACATACGCTTCAGGTTACAGACTCCGCTAACCCAGAAATAGTACCTCGAGCTAAGAACTTTGCTTCAGGATGAGAACAGAAATTGTGCAGCGGCGGCAGCAGGAGGCCCCATTAGCTAAAGTGGTGCTTCAAGTTAAGAACAGTTTCAGGTTAAGAACGGACCTCCGGAACGAATTAAGTACTTGACCCGAGGTACCACTGTACTGCTGAACTGCAACTCCCATCAACTCTGACCATAGGCCCTGCTGGAGGAGAGTTGGAGTCCAATAATCTCTGGCATAGGCTCCATATGCATTCCTTAATTTGAAGTTAGTAGAGAAAACACAGTGCTCGAAATTTGCCACCCTTCCCGTCCGCAACAACGGGGAGCCATCATATTTGTGGCTCCCTCCCTGCGGAACGCCTTCCCATCGGATGTCAAGGAGATAAAGAACTACACAACTTTTAGAAGACATCTGAAGGCAGCCCTGCATTGGGAAATTTTTAATGTTGGGCATTTTATTATGTTTTTATATGTGCTGTAAGCCACCCAGAGGGGCTGGGATATAAATAATAAAATTGTTGTTATTGTTATTTGCAAGAGGTAAAGGTAAAGGGACCCCTGACCATTAGGTCCAGTTGTGTCCGACTATGGGGTTGTGGCGCTCATCTCGCTTTATTGGCCAAGGGAGCCAACGTACAGCTTCCAGGTCATGTGGCCAGCATGACTAAGCCGCTTCTGGCGAACCAGAGCAGCGCACGGAAACACCGTTTACCTTCCCGCCGGAGCGGTACCTATTTATCTACTTGCACTTTGACGTGCTTTTGAACTGCTAGGTTGGCAGGAGCAGAGACCGAGCAACGGGAGCTCACCCTGTTGCGGGGATTTGAACCACCGACCTTCTGATCGGCAAGTCCTAGGCTCTGTGGTTTAACCCACAGCACCAACAAATAGGGATTAATCAGAGCGACCTAAGCTTTCCTTTAGGGATTCCAGGAGGACTTTCCCCCCCCCAAGGCATCTTCTCCTTTACAGCTTCCATAAACTACATGCATGTGCATTTTTGAAAGCTGCCACACATACACACGCGCACACATGCATGCGAATAACAGGTTATGAAGCACTCAAGAATCAACTACTTGAAGGGGCCCCCAGAGATGATCCCCATCCCCTCCATTCCTGCGCAGGCTCCCCTCCTCCACGTTCCCCTGCCTGGGGTCGCATTTCTAGAGTGTGCAAAATAATGTCATGGCTGATGGGAGAGACTCTGCCTCAAACTGACATTGTTTGAAGCCGCTCTGCGTGCTCCCTGCAAGTTGGGCTAATTGACAACTCACTAAACCCACAACCTGAGGGGATTTTCAAAGGCAATCAATAGGAGATGCATGTGCAGCCCGGGGAGGCTCCCGGTTTTTTAAGCCCCCCGCCCCGCCCGCTCCCTCCCTCCCACCGCCTGCAAGCGAGGGACCCTGGACGGTGGCAAAGAAAAGGGAACAGCCACTGCCACGCTGAATCAAAATTCCTCCAGAGACGGCTGCTTCTCTCGCCCCAGGGGTCAGGGCAGACACAGCCTCCAAACAAAGGGCCCTGGTTTCTGGTTGCCCCCAAATAACCGTGTTTGCTCCCTGCTCTCCAACTGGCGCTAAATAAATGTACACAAACGCACTCACACAGAAGCAGAGCATCTCCCCCCCCCACCCGGTTCCCTTTAAAAGCCCTACATTGCCCTCATCCAGAGACACCTCTCCATATTCCACTAGTTTCCACAAACCTATAACTTCCACGGCCCTTCCCGAGCCCCCCAGATGGCTCAACCTGCTGCCCCACTTCCGAAAGGCAATCCACGCGCAATAGTGGACATCTCCCAGCCGCGGACACGCACAGAGCGAGCCTCCGGAAGACCCACAAGCCGTGCAGGCAAGGTCTCTCTCCCCGCCCCACAAGCCCCGGCGACCTTTGCTCTTGCGCGCAGGGTTTGTGCCCCGACGGCACGTGAATCCCCCCAAATACTGAACCAGCACCCACCCAGTGAAAAATGACACCCCCCCCCGTTGCTTCCCAGAGAGTCATGTCGCCAGAACAGTAATCGATATATTCAGGGCGATCAGGACATTCCCCACCCCCACGCGCGATCTAGGAGGTTTAGAGGTTTCGCGTCTGGCACGACATAAAAGGTCGCGCGTAAAATCCACGAGGGGAACCCTGTCACCAGGCGCACGCCTACCCTGCGCAACGTAAACACAGGAGCTTCAGACACTCTTGTTTTTTGACCAAAAAAAGGGGGGGGCAAAAAAACCCACGCTCCCTAAACATGGGCCTCAGCCCCCCCCCCAGGCAGTTTTGCAAAGCAAAGTACCCCCCCCCCCCATGTATGTGTGTTCCCACCTCAGGGGTGCCAACTTGAATAAAATCTTGGGGTGGGGTGGGGAAGCCGTCCCCCGCATAATCGATCACACGACGCGGTGCACACACACCATTTGAATGGCAATGCCCATCAACTTGAGTGGGGGGGGCGCCCCCTCAAATATTTTATGGGGTATCGAAGACCCCTCGCTCCCTAGGAGTTGGCTCCACCGCGCAAACGACAACCGGCTAGTTTCCAGAGAAAGGAAGCCTTCGCAGCTGCATGTTTTGGCCGGGGAAACCCAGCCCACCCTACGTTGCCGGTGATCCGGTAGATCAGGAGCACACCAGATCCCTGTCTCCCAGGGCTCGCCTTCCCGCCCCGACGCGAGGCAGCCCGAGCGCCGTCTCCCACCCACCCCCACCCCCCTGCCCCGGGAGAGACTCCGATCCCCATCCCAACCCCTCCGGACGATCTCGGGAGGGCCGCCCGGAACCCGACCCGGCCCGGCCCGCTGTCAGCGCCTCGCCCCCTAACTCACCTACTCATCCCGGCGCGTCCCTAGCGGAACCCGGCGCAGCCCCCTGGTCCGCGTGGCCGGGGCGCTGCGGCGGCGCAGGCGGGCGCGGCGCAGCTGTGGGTGGCCGCGGAACTCGGCATCCTCCTGCCGCCGCCCGGCCGGGACAACGCGGAGCCGGAGCCGGGATCTGCTACTGCCTCCGCTGGTCGACCAGCTCCAGGCTGCGTGCCGCCCTCCGCTTGCCCAGGCAGGCTCTGCGTCTCCGGACCCGCCCCTTTCCCCCATGCGCCCACCCGCCTCTCTCGACGGCTCCACCCCCCTCCCCTTCGGCTCCCGGCTCCAGATTCACCGCCCATTCGATCCCCCCGCCTCCGATGACCTAACCCTTCCCGTCCGTCCGTCCGTCCGTCCATCCATCCACTCGGGCTTATCATCCCCTCGCGCACCAGGCGCGTTGGGCGCGCGGAGAAGCCCCGCAAAATGTTGTCGAAGGCTGCCTAGGGAAGAAGGAATTCCCTCCCTTAAAACATCACGGTCAGGTAATCTGGTTAAGTGTGTACACAATTAAAGATATGTAGATTAAAGACATCTATCGACAATTAAAGATACGTAGATTAAAGATATGTATCCATAGGCGTAGCCAGGGGGGTGCATAAGATAAACAAAATACAAAAGTAAATAAACAAAAATACTTAACTATACAGTGGTACCTGGGGTTACATACGCTTCAGGTTACAGACTCCGCTAACCCAGAAATAGTGCTTCAGGTTAAGAACTTTGCTTCAGGATGAGAACAGAAATCGTGTTCCTGCGGCACAGCAGCAGCAGGAGGCCCCATTAGCTAAAGTGGTGCTTCAGGTTAAGAACAGTTTCAGGTTAAGTACGGACCTCCGGAACGAATTAGGTACTTAACCTGAGGTACCACTGTATGACCAATTGCATGGCAGATAACTCTGTTCTGCCCCCAACATAAAGCCTCTGTCCTCTAAAACAAATCCTGGCTACACCCATGTATAAGATCCACCTCTCCAAAGGTGCTTTGTAGCATTCGCTTAAGTAAAGGTAAAGGGACCCCTGACCATTAGGTCCAGTCGTGGCCGACTCTGGGGTTGCGGCGCTCATCTTGCTTTATTGGCTGAGGGAGCCGGTGTACAGCTTCTGGGTCATGTGGCCAGCATGACTAAGCCGCTTCTGGCGAACCAGAGCAGCGCATGGAAACACCGTTTACCTTCCCGCCGGAGCGGTACCTATTTATCTACTTGCACTTTGACGTGCTTCAAACTGCTAGGTTGGCAGGAGCAGGGACTGTGCAACGGGAGCTCACCCCGTCGCGGGGATTCAAACCGCCAACCTTCTGATCGGCAAGCCCTAGGCTCTGTGGTTTAGACCACAGCGCCACCATTCATGCAAAGCATTTAACCCCCTTATGTACCTATTAACTTCATGCCATTGTACCAGATTATACAGAGTCTACATATATCTAGGTTTTTATTGTTTGGAGGGTTTTTCAAAACATTATTTCATATAACAAAAGATTTAAAAAAGAAGCCAGACATGGACCGGATAACCTCAACATGACTAGGTAGTCATTTCCTCTCTTCTTCTTCTTCTTAAATAATATTAAATTTATATACCACCCTTCTTCAAAAAATCTCAGGGCAGTTCACAGAATAAAATACCAGTTAAAACACAAGTAATTAATTCAACCAAAACAATACGCCCCTTCCCATAGATACATTTAAAAGGCTGTAGCATATTAATCAGCTGAAGGCCTGGTTAAAGAGGATTGTTTCCGTCTAGTGCCTAAAGACATATAATGAAGGCGCCAGGCAAACCTCCCTGGGGAAAGCATTCCACAAACAGGGAGCCACTACAGAAAAGGCCCCGTTCTTGTGTTTCCACCCTCCCGATCTCACATGGAGGAGACACACAGAGAAGGGCCTCAGGTTATGAACGCAGATTCTGGGACAGCTTTTGAATCTATTCTGGGGTTGGATTAATTGGAGGCTATATAGACTATACTGGGGACTGTGGTGATATTTCAGATTTATCATTGTGTGCTTTCCATTATGTTAGTGATTACTGTTCAGTACAATGTTGTACGGAAACCCAACTGTTCGTAAGAGAAGATTCCGGCAGAGATTGGCACACCGCTGCAGTCAAAATTAGTGGCAGCTTTTGCCTTTGGCCTCGGTGGACGAAGGATCGGGCTTCACATTTACAGGTTGTCTCCATAGAAACAGGAGAGGATCCCCAGAAGGAGGGGCATGGAAGACGACTGAGCCAGGGAGAAAATTACCCAAGTAACCATTTACTACCAGCATGAATAAAATCCTGTAGGCCTGGAAATGGGGGAATGTGGAAACAGGCCAGGAAGCAGTACTCAAGAGTAAAAAAACAAACAAAAGGGAAATGGGGAACCAGAACAGGGCCTCAGTCAGAACCAACTGCGAAACTAGTACAGTGGTACCTCGTGTTACATATGCTTCAGGTTACATATGCTTCAGGTTACAAACTCCGCTAACCCAGAAATATTACCTCGGGCTAAGAACTTTGCTTAAGGATGAGAACAGAAATCGTGCTCCGGCGGCGTGGCAGCAGCAGGAGGCCCCATTAGCTAAAGTGGTGCTTCAGGTTAAGAACAGTTCCAGGTTAAGAACGGACCTCCGGAACGAATTAAGTACTTAACCCGAGGTACCACTGTATCTCAATTGCAAACACTTGTGATTGAAGGCTCAGAACGGAGATACATGGCTTTCCAACTAAGAAAATGGATCTTTGAGACCAAATCACTGCTGGTGGTGAAGTTATTTCTGTTGTTGTTTTGAAATCCGCAGGCATCTGATACTTTAGGAAGAACGAAAGCCCAGAATTCTAAACCGAAGGAGAAGCAGGCATGACCCCAAAGGAGACGCTTACAGTGCAATCCTAGCTATGTCTACTCAGAAGTAAGTTCCCATGAAGCTTACACCCAGGTAAGAGGGGTTTGGATTGCAGCCACCATATTTTTTTAGTTGGTTGTAACATGGAGGGAAATGATACTGCCCTCGCGTAGAAGATTTCCACCTCTGGCTGAGCATAAATCAGGCTTCCACAACCTCGGCCCTCCAGATGTTTTTGGCCTACAACTCCCATGATCCCTAGCTAGCAGGACCAGTGGTCAGGGATGATGGGAATTGTAGTCTCAAAACATCTGGAGGGCCGAGGTTGAGGAAGCCTGATTTAATACTTTAAGTTGCTGTTTATGTATACAGTCATCCCTCGTGTTGAATATGCTTCAGGTTGAGCATTTTCAGGTTACGCTCTGCGGCGACTCGGAAGTAACGGAACGCGTTACTTCCAGGTTTTGCTGCTCGCGCAGGCGCTCAAAATGACATCACACGCATGCACGGAAGCAACAAAACGCAACCCGCAGTTGCACAGTCGCGTGTTACGTTCTACTCAGGATGCGAACGTGGCTCCGGAATGGATCCCGTTCGCATCCAGAGGTACCACTGTATGGAGTTTTATTGCCGCTTCCATAAGCCAGGATGAGAACTAAACAGCATATTAGCAGCAGCAACATAGCATCAAATCTTGATTTATTCCAATTCATTAATAATAATAAAAACATCATTTACAACGCCGGTGGCGAACCAGCGTTATGATTAATAATCCCTTCCCCTGCAACCCCTCCCCTTCCTGATCCCCTTCAAAAGTAACACAATGATCAAAAAGTCTCTGCTGTTTAATTACCTTTCCGTTTGATCAGCCATAGACACCATCAGCAGAAATCCAGGCTGACACCTCCCTGTTAAAACATCAGGTTGATCCTGCGGGGAAGTTGACATTCCTCGGAGCTCATTAGTGGTTTGACAGCAAAAAAGAAGAAAGATATGACAATCCCAGGTCCAGGAATTTTATTTTTTATTTTAAAGAAAGAAAGAACATGTGACGGCAGATAATTCCCTCCCCTTCCCCGCCCCGTCCTGGCCTGTTGGTTCACCTGGGGCGGGGTGGGGGGTTTGACATATCAACAGCTTAGATTATGTTTCAGTAGGCAATGCGCTAAGAAAATGCGAGCAGCTTTGCTACCAAAAAAACTATTAAGTGTCAAGAGTCTCCTGGTGGAAGCGAGGCTCTTCGTTGTCCGTAATCCCCCCTTCTTCCTTGCTGGGGCGGAATCTCGGGTCCCGAACGAGTGACAAGTGAGGGTTTGAGACACGGGTTACATATGGTTCTGAGTGTCGCAACCCCCTGACACTTTTGTTCAAGCTGCAGACATTAATGCTTTTAGCTCAAGAGGTTCGTAGCATGTTGGTCAAAGAACGGTCACACTTAACAGTCATTCCTTCTAATTGATGGGCCTATTAAGGCCCACTTTATAGCTGTGCCGCTATTCAGGAAACAGAGCTTGGTGACACTGCCGATAGCTCACTAAAACATCTAGTTCAGGGCCCCGCCGTGAGGAAAGGGAAGGCAAATAATGCAAAATATGATGACCTCTAAAGCTCTATTCAGCCTGGACCCAGCGCTCAGAGGCTGCTTCCACCATTACATTCCATCACAACTTCTAAAACGAACCCAGAATTCTTTTAAATTAGGGCTGCCATTTTCCCGGAATTTCAAAGGCAGAATTGACATCGAGGGAGAATTTCCAAAATGTGTTCCTACTTTGAAATTCATCTCTTCCCGAGGATTCACTAAAGCCCAACACCTGTGTGTGTGTTACAGAAATCATACAAGACATTTAATTCAAAATGGCATGTGGCAGCTAGGGATGTGATTTATTAATTAACGTATCGTTACCTGGCCCCATGTCCTTGGGATGAGGGAGGTGACACAACTTTGATAATTTATTTATAAATTGCTGTCGATAAAAAAGAAAAATCAGAGCAGTTTAGAATAATTGTACATAAAACCATACAATAAAACATACCAAAAAGTTAAAATGTAGTATGACATTTGCCTGGCTTCATATAATAAAATACTTTTATTTTCTCAGGTTTTAATTATTGTGGCTGGTTTTTATGAGCTGCTTTGGAACGGCTGCTGTTACACTATATATTGCTTTGTGCTGTATTCTCTGTTTTATTGAGTTTGTAGGTAGCCATTTTACTGCATTTTTAATAATAACTTAAAATCAGAAATCAGCTAACCATTGTGGAAGGATATAATCTCAATTGCCTGCACAAGCTTGATGGAAAAGAAAAGTTTCCAGGTGTTTAAAAGTTGAAACAGGCGGCGATTGGTGAATCTCTGTTATCAAAT